TATCTAAAACCCACCTCCTGCACAGCTCCATTTGTCTTCAAAGCCTTTGTCATCATTTGCAACATGATGCATTGACTTACTTGGTTTTCATTGTGTCTCCCTGTTCTCATGAAAGTGAGTGAGTTCTCATGAGATCTGGGAAAAAACACTCCGATGATTCAGTCATCTCCACCTGGTCCCACCCTTGACACATGAGGATTATTTAATTCAAGGTGAGATTTGAGTGGGGCACAGAGCCAAACCATATTATTCCACCCCTGGCCTCTCCCAAATCTCATGTCCTCACATTTCAAAGCACAATCATGTCCTTCCAACAGTCCCCCAAAGTCTTAACTCATTCCAACAATAACCTAAAAGTGCAAGTCCAAAGTCTCATCTGAGACAAGTCCCTTCCACCTGTGAGCCTGTAAATTCAAAAGCAAATTAGTTACTTCCTAGGTACAATGGGGTACAGGCATTGGGTAAATACATCCATTCCAAATGGGAGAAATTGGCCAAAAAGGGGCTACAGGCCCCATGCAAGTGTAAAATCCAATAGGGAAATCATTAAACCTTAAAGTTCCAAAATTATCTCCTTTGATTCTATGTCTTATATCTAGGTCACGCTGATGCAAAAGGTGGGTTCCCACGACCTTGGGCAGTTCTGCCCCTGTGACTTTGCAAGGTACAGCCCTCCTTTCTGGTTGCTTTCACAAGCTGGCATTGAGTGCCTGTGGCTTTTCCAGGCACCTCGTGCAAACTGTCAGTGAATCTACCATTCTGGGGTCTGGAGGATGGTGGTCCTCTTCTCACAGCTCCACTAGGCAGTGCCTTAGTAGGGACTCTGTGTGGGGGCTCCAACCCCACATTTCCCTTCCACACTACCCTAGCAGAGGTTCTCCATGAGAGCCCCACTTCTGCAGCAGACTTCTCTCTGGACATACAGGCATTTCCATACATCCTCTGAAATCTAGGCAGAGGTTCTCAAACTTCAATTCTTGACTTCTGTGCACCTGTAGGCTCAACACCACATGGAAGCTGCCAAGGCTTGGGGCTTGCACCCTCTGAAGCCATGGCCTGAGCTGTACCTTGGCCTCTTTTAGCCATGGCTGGAGCTGCAGGGAGACAGGGCACCAAGTCCCTAGGCTGCACACAGAAAGGGTCCCTGGGCCTGATTCATAAAACCGTTTTTTGCTCCTGAGCCTCTGGGTCTGTGATGTGAGGGGCTGCCATGAAGGTCTGCCATGCCCTGGAGACGTTTTCCCTGTTGTTTTGGTGATTAACATTCAGCTCTTTGTTACTTATGCAAAATTCTGCAGCAGGCTTGAATTTCTGCACAGAAAATGGAGTTTTCTTTTCTATTGCATCATCAGGCTGCAAATTTTCCAGTTTTATGGTCTGCTTCCTTTTGAACATTTTGCCACTTAGACTTTCTTCTGCCAGATACCCTAAATCATGTCTCTCAAGTTTAAACTTCCACAGATCTCTAGGGCAGGAGCAAAATGCCACCAATCTCTTTGTTAAAGCATAACAAGAGTCACCTTTGCATCTAAGAAGTTCCCAACAAGTTCCTCATCTCCATATGAGACCACCTCAGCTTGGACTTTATTGTCCATATCACTATCAGCATTTTGGTCAAAGCCATTCAACAAGTCTGTAGGAAGTTTCAAACTTTCCCTCATCTTCCTGTCTTCTGAGTTCTCCAAACTGTTCCAACCTCTGCCTGTTACCCAGTTCCAAAGTCACTTCCACATTTTCAGGTATCTTCATAGCAGCATCCCACTCCTGGTACCAATATACTGTGTTAGTCCATTCTTATGCTGCTATAAAGAACTGCCCAAAACTGAGTAGTTTATAAATAAAAGAGGTTTAATTGACTCACAGTTCCACATGGCTCGGGAGGCCTCAGGAAACTTACGATCATGGTGGAAGGTACTTCTTTACAGCACAGGAGGAGGGAGAATGAGTGCCGAGCAAAGGCAGAAGCCCCTTATAAAACCATCAGATCTTGTGAGAGCTCAGTCGCTATCATGAGAACAACATGGGCAAATTTGCTTCCATGATTCAATTATCTCTACCTGGTCCCGCCTTTGATATGTGGGGATTATTACAATTCAAGGTGAGATTTGGGTGGGAACACACAGCCAAACCACATCACTTCCCCTCTACATGATGCAAACTTTACAGGGGTGGGGACTGAACCTGTGAGGTTCAGTGCTGTATCCTTTGTGCATGGAACAGTGTCTGGCATATCATAGGTGCTCCAAAGTATTTGTTAAATGAATAAATAAATGCCAATACATTGTTTGCCTCCCATGGGGTGGGTGTCTGCCCCTCATCTCTCTTGTCCTTTACCTGTCCCCACAGGTGCTATCCCCACTCTGAGCTGTCAGTCCCACCCCCTGGCCACTCCAAACTGAACTATGATGTTGCCACCCTCATTGATTCTGGGGGCTTCTACCTTCTGTAACCCCTGACACCATGCTCCCTGCTGGACTGGGCTAACATGGGCCATAAAACCTAGATTAGTTAATAATGCAAGAAACACTTCCCCTAGGCCTCCAATGGGTAAGGCTTTGGCCTTCTAAGTTTACAATCTAGGGGTTAGAGGAGGCAGAAAAACAATCAACAAACATGGCACCAGACCCTGGGAGTGGCCTGGATGAGGACAACAATGTCACATCCTTCAAGGGCGGGATCTCAGTGGGTTGTTGCGTGCCTTCGGTTGCAGATGCCAGAAGCCAAATGTAACCAGCTTAAGTCCAAGAGGAACATCTATTGGCTCAAGTCCTCAAAGATGGAAAAGGAGCATGAAGTGGACATTGCAGAAGGGCCAGCAAAGCCAGAAGCACAGAGTGACATTTTCTTCACAAGGGTACCTGCTTCTCTTTGCACACTGTGGCTTAGTTTTCTTCTGCTACAGTTAACTGGGGAGACATGCCCCTGGAGCCATGTCTGATTCAAGAGGAAAAGGTCTTCTGTCTCCTGCTCTCCCCTGGAAAATCCTTTGGAAGGATGTGGTTGGCTCACCTGGGGTACGAGCTCCCCCTTGGGCCCAGGACTGTGGTCTAAGAGATGAGGCACCAGGCAGCCAGGAGATCTCACACACGCCTCTGTGAGCAGAGAGACAGGGACTGCTACCAGACAAGGAGGGAGAGGGCTGGGATTGCACAAAGGGCTCTCTCTAGGTACTCCCTGGGACCTGGGTCTGCAGCCATATCACACCTCCCACTCCTTGGCCTGCCTAGTTGGGCTTCTTCCTGCCTGGTGGCCCATGCTGTAGAAGACCTTCATGCCTTGCTATTGAGACTGTGCACGCTATTACCCTGTGCCTAAGGCTACTGAGTTTCCACCCTGTCCCAGAATCTAGATGCCCTCTGTCCTTACCTGCACAACAGAATGATCGCTGCTGCCTACCCACCAGCCTCTGCATATGCCCTCCTCACACCCTCGCCCCCACCCCCACGAAAGCAAACTCCTATTACCTTGTAATACTCAGTGCAAGTGCCAGCTTCACCATTCTCAGCTATTCTTGGGCTCTCAATTCCCAGGCCCTCCTCAGACTTCCCTAGTCCTCTGAGCCCAGCAGGCTGCAGAGCCAGGGGCTGAGGGCTGGGCCATAATAGGTCCATGCCCTGGAGCATGGATCTTCCGAGTGGCTCTTTGTGGCTGAACAGGGGCCGTCTTGGTTTAGTGCCTGGACTGGGATTTTTTCCTCTTTTCTCCCCTGTGCATCTCTGCCTGTCTCCCTGTGCAGATGGGAACCCAGGGAAAGACTACTGGAGCCCCACTTTAAGTGATGTGCAAAACATCCCAGGGGCCAGCAGGCTAGTGCGGTGAAGGACAGGCTGTCAGGTGTGTGGGGGGTAGGGAAGTGGGGCCTCAGTTCCCTTTGCCTGGTTACCTTGGAGCCCATCTTACTAAAGAGGATGGTTTCATTAGCTGGGCCCTGGTGTCCCAGAATTCTGGGTAAATAAATTATCTTGAGGATCCAACTACCAGGGTGGCTTTGCCTGACTTTACTTCCTTGGAAGCAACCTTGAGTTCCTGGACACAGTTGTGCCTACCACTTGCCACTCAGCTGTCCAGAGAGGACACACCAAGCACACCCACAGTGGGAAGCTCTCAGAGGGCACAAAGGCCCAGTGGTCAAAGCAAGCGGATGCAATAGAACAGGCTGAGGGAGCCCAATAGCAGTAGCACCAAGAACTCACTGCAGGCCAGGCATCCAGAGAGCACACTCCATGCCCACATGCAGCTCACAGTCCAGTGGCTGGCTTGGCTGTGGGAGACGCCGGTGACTCACTCGGTACCGTTCAGCCCATGTGAATCATGGCGCCGCCGGTTGCCCAGGCCAGGCTGCCGGCCAACCTCTCTGCACAGCTGGGTAACATTAAGAACTTGGCGACGCCCGCAGCATGCAGCAGATCCTCTGGGCCCTCTTGCTGTTGTTGTCAGATGTTGATAGGAGTTTGGGAAGCAAGTGAGGAGCGTGTTCATTCTGGGCTGGGTCAAACCTGGGCAGGGATGAAGGGCAGGATGGGCCTGAGGTGACAGCCTGCAGGGCATCTGGCCCCTCTTTAGTTCAGTTGTCAGCTCTGAGCCATGGCATCCTGGGTGCATTCATGATCTTCTCCATGGCCCAGGGTCCCCATCTATTAAACGAGATATTGGGGGATCCTGGGAGGACCGAGTGAGAGTGTATATAGAGAATACCCAAAACAGTGCTGGCACATAACAGCTGCCCCACACGCCTTAGCCACCCTGGGTGCCTCAGTCTCTCCTGTGTCCCTTTCTCCTCCCCCACACCTCCCCATCTGTCACCCCATTCACACATTCACACCAGCCACAGTTGGCGGGCATCCACGTTCTCTTGAGGGTCTACCTGCTCCTTCCCATCCTCTCTGTCTCCTCCCTCACCAAGATTTTCTTAATATTCTAGGCTCTAGAGTCCTAGAATGTTCCAGTTTCTAGCACTCTAGAACATTCTAGGCCCCACCAAGCATGTGCCTCTGTGTCTTTGCTCACTAGGTTCCCTCAGCCTTCAACACCTTGAGAGCTTCTTTGGAGGCCCTAGCAGGGGTGCACAGCTACTTATATACCCTTGGCTGAAGACCAGTCCTCTCTGTCGGAGATGGTCTTAAGTGCAGCTTTGGGAGCGACGCGCACAGAGTGGTGAGGGAGGAAGGGGACACCTGCCCAGCCAGCCAGATCAGCCGAATCAACTTTGGCCATCAGTGGGGTGACAGATGTCACAGCCAGATCACCCTCACATTCCCCTAGTCTTGAATACCTTTCCCCATCTTCTTCACCTGGCACTTTTTCTTGTGGCAGGAGATGGCAGGATGAGATTGTGGTCTTCCATCCACGCAGGTCAGTGACAGTCCTCAGCTCAAATCGCCTCCTCTGTGAAGCCTTCCTAATCTCACCTCCCCAACCAGGTGGACTCCTGTGCCCCATGGAGAGGTAGACATCCACATCCCACAATGGCCCACCCCATTGCTCCGTGCTCACCTCCAATTTCCTCCCACATAGGAGCTCCTGCACAGTAGACAGCCACTGGGGCAGGCTCGTGGGGGCAACCTCCCACACTTTTTGAAAGACTAAATGAAGGACTAACAGGAGGTGGGGAAAACGCTGGCTTGGCAATTAGGAGAGCAAAGCTTCCATGTTCTTCCACACCCCTAATCTTTGTCCCAGACCTTGTCAGGCCTTGTTTTCTATTTGAGGACCCCAGGACTCTGAGAAGACCCCAAGCCAACCTGCTCAGTTGCCGGCTGAAAACCTCAAACTATCAAGAACATTGACCATGGTCTCCTTGGGTACACTCAGGAGGTTTATGAATGCTCCAATTACCCTGTAGTCTCATGGTAGGAGAGAGAGATGGAATTGGGAAGAGACCTGAGAAAGTGTTTTTTTTGTTTTTGTTTTTGTTTTGTTTTGTTTTGAGATGGAGTTTTGCTCTTGTTGCCCATCTGGAGTGCAATGGCGGGATTTCAGCTCACTGCAGCCTCCGTGTTCTGAGTTTGGGCGATTCTCCTGCCTCAGCCTCCCAGACAGCTGGGAATACAGGCACGCACCACCACGCCCAGCTAATTTTGTATTTTTAGTAGAGATGGGGTTTCATTATGTTGCCTAGGCTGGTCTCAAACTCCTGACCTCAGGTGATCCAACTGCCTGGGCCTCCCAAAGTTCTGGGGTTACAGGTGTGAGCCATCACGCCTGGAAAGACCTGAGAAAGTTACCATCATATTTCAGTTAATGAAATCCTTTGACAGCTTTCTGTTTTGAGTCCCCTACTGCATGTACATCTGCAGGGAGGCATGGAAGTGAGGTGGGTAGGGGATGTGGGGAGAGGTGGTGATATACCCAGATCCTTACAAACATCTAAAATTATTCAGGATTCATTTTTTAAAAGTTATCCAAAGATTAGATTCCCGGAAATGGGGAGAGAGTTCAGCCTCTGGAAGATTAACACTGTGCAGCTGATTTGTCCAAGTCCGACAGATTTTTCTCCCCGAAAGACTGCTGCGCCTTGGGACCCTGTAATGATACTGCTGGGAGCCCCAGCCCTCTTGCTTCTCTTTCCTTCTCTCCATTGTCTCCCGAATGTCCCAGCCTCTTCCTGGCTAGTAGATGCTGATGGCCCTGAGTGACCATCCAAGTGGCTCCAAGCCTTGGATTTCTCTCCTAGGAAACAGAGAATAATTTTTCTCTATCATGCTCATAGGGAAGATGAGGGCTGTGGAGACAAAACGGGCTCAAACATGAGAAATAACAAATTTCCTATTAAATGTAAAATGGTGAAGAGGAAAAGGAAGTGAGCAGAGAGCTGGGACTTGTGGATCTGAGCCGTGGCTTCCTCTAGTTCATGAAGGGATGGACCTTGTTTGAGTCACTCACCATCTCTGGACCCTGGTTTTCCTGATGTATAAGTAAGTGTTTTGGATCTGCTCATTTGGGGGATGTGGCCAGCTTCCACCTTCCAGATCTTGCATACCCCATTTCCTGTCCTAGCAGCCCTGGAGGAAAGGTTCCCATCAGGTTTGGTGAAAGTTTCTTTCCAAACGATACGGCCATGGAATGCTGGGTTGGGATCTACTCGGAGGCTGCGGCTCCCTCCACCTCCGAGACCACGCCAGCAGACTGGGGCTTTCACATTTTGAAACAAGCTATGGAATCTGACCTGGCCTGGATTTCCCGGTAGTGGGGTTATGTCCTTCTGACTTGGCCATCTGAAGTAGGACCCCAGGCAAGAGGACACCTTCTCAGAAACTGATTCATGTTTATGAAAGTCATTCATCACTGTTCATGGCAGAATTTCCTCCAGGATTGGTTTCTCCAGCAGTGAGCTGTCACGCCAATACCACGTAGAAAGCTTGGGGGTTGAGGGTGCTAGAGTCTCGGGCCAATCATGATGTAGATGCGGACATGAGCTCCAGTTCCTTCCTGGTTTTGCCACTTCCTAGCCATGTAGCCTCAGAGAAATCACTTGACATTCCAAGTGGGATGGGGGTAATTGGATCACGGGGGCGGTTTCTCCCATGCTGTTCTCCTGAGAGTCAGTGAGTTCTCACAAGATCTGATGGTTTTATAAGTGTTTGGAAGTTCCCCTTTCGCTCTTCTCTCTACTGCTGCCTTGTGAAGAAGGTGCCTGCTTCCCCTTAGCCTTCTGCCATGATTGTAAGTTTTCTGTGGCCTCCCCAGCCATGTTAAACTGTGAGTCAATTAAACCTCTTTCCTTTATAAATTATCCAGTCTCGGGCAGTTCTTTGTAGCACTGTGAAAACAGACTAATACACCCCCAAACCTGGCTACCCCATCCATCAAAGAGGGACAATAATAGTGTGGCCAATAATTAGATTGCATTCCCCCAAAGCAGATCCCAATACATAGATTTGATTAAAGTAATTTATTTGGTGATGACCCAGGAGTCAGGGGTCAGGACCAAGAAGTGAGAAAGGAAGGGAGGTAAATTCATTCAAGTGGGAAGATGGGCAGGTCTTCACCGAGGGCAACCAGGCTTGATCCCCCAGGAGCCTCTGCAGGAGTACATGGAACACACCTCAGAGCTGCTCCACTGTGGGGTGAGGAACCTGGGTGTTTATCCATTATCTGTGGGCTGCTCTTAGGATGTTAGTGCCTCAGAACGCCCCACCTACCTCGTGTGTGAACCAAGCACGCC